AATGCCTGATTTTTTGTAATTTCTCAAATCGCAAATCGAAGCCCACGACCCTAGCCCAATAAGTTGTAGCAACACCGTGGACTTCAGTTCAAATCCACGAAGAGATAGATCCTCCAAGCCCAAACCCAAACCCGCGAATTAGCCGAAGTAAAACCCACCAGGCTTCTCCAATTCGTTCCTCAGAAAAGCACTCCCACTTGGTACAAGCGTTTTCTCCTATTAATTCTCCATATTGATTTTAATTCGATTAAAATCTCACTTCTAGTTTTTGATAGACTGATTTATTCTTGCTCCCGTTGATTGATGCATTTGAATTGTATATTGATTTGAATTTTTAGGGGCGTAATATTTTAATATTATTTCTGTTTTTGTTCTTCGTCTCGGATCTTTTTGAAAATAATTGGAGTTATAACCGATTGTTGATGTATTTTTATAAATTTGAAAGAGTCTCAGTTTAACAGAATCGTTTCTCTCTCTAGGAATTTGAGTTGTTTAGACAGAAATTCTCCTTCAGATCTGCAATTTCCACCATAATATCAAGTTTATGGTCCTCCATGAAAATCAGCATTTGAGATTTACAATTTGAATTCTTTACGGCTAATGTGAGTTCTAATGGTCATTTATAATCTTGTTAGATGCAGAATTTCGAATACTAAGCTGTGGAAAGGTTTTGTCATTCCAAAGTAATCTCCAGATATTTTGATCTCCATGGCCATGAACTCTAGAAGGTTTCTGCCTCTAATTTTCTTATTACTTTAATTATTAACTATTCTTTTAAATACTGTACCTTGCAATTGCATTACTGTTTCAAATTGCTTTTATCTACAAGATAATTTCGAAAATTATGGATTAAGAAGGCTCTGAAATTTTGTATGTAGCATTGATTGACTTTTATTTGACATAGTTTCATTGTTATGGTGGAGATGTATTAAATTATAAGTGCATCAAATATCTACTTTTAGTGCTTATGAATTTCAAGTATTTTATTTGTTTCTTAGATGATTGATGCTAGTGAAATGTGTCAGGATTTCTAAAACTTTTTGTATCTATTTTCTTGCATAAAGTAGTGTGGGTTTTGACGCAATTGCTACATGAGAGCAAAGCATTTTAAGAACTAAAATTGAGTAGTTTAATTTTCTGGATAAATGACAAAAAATATTTGTTTCTCAAGGCTAATATGGCTTCTGGG